CCTATTCCTATTTCTATGGAACCTCTGTTCTCCAGGGTAGACCTTAAATTAGGTCACAAAAGTAGTTTCAAAAGATTGACATCAGAGAACTCTGACCTCTGATAGAATGAAGCCAGAGAGAAAAAACAAAAAAGGAAACGTGGAAAATTCAAATATGTGGAAATTGAACAGCACACTCTTATACAACAAATGGGTGAAGAAATAAAAAGGATTTTAGAAAATAATTTGAGGTGCTACAGTTGATCTTAGCCAAAAGGCCGAGAAGCGATTGAAAATAATTTGAGGTGAATGGAAATGAAAACAACATATCAAAACTTATGAGATGCAGTTAAAGCAGTGATCAGAGGAAAGTTTAGAGTTGTAAATGCCTACATTAAAAAGAAAGGGAGCACCTGGGTGGCTCAGTCCATTAAGCATCCAACTCTTGATTTCAGCTCAGGTCATGAACTCCTAGTTTGTGGGATTGAGGCCTGCATCAGGCTGACAGCATGTGGCCTGCTTGGGGTTCTCTCTCCCTCTCTCTCTGTCTCCCCCCACCCCCGCCCACTCCCTGCATACCCCTGATCAAGATATCTCTCTTTCAAATAAATAATAGATTTAAAAAAAAAAAGAAGGATTTCAAATCAATAACCTAACTTTACATTTCAAAGAACTAGAAAAAGGTAAATTATCTAACACAGTGCTTAATGGAGCTTGGAATACAGTAGGCACTTCATAAATGTTAGTATTTCCCTGTTAGAAGGTGGAGGAGGGTTACTAATGTATCCTGCAGATTGAGAAGTCACTTTAATACTGAAACTCAAAACGAGCTACCCCATACCACTTACACAGAGTTTTGTTCAGGGTTGCTGCTTGACAGGGTATTGGGCCAGCCGGTGGATGGAGGATCCAGGGTACCACACTCCCATTCTCCAGCCAGCTCAGACCTCAAAGCTAATAGAACAAGGGACATGGTGGTGTGGTCACAGGGTGGTTACCTAAAGTGACATCATCTGTGTACCAGAGGATCCATGCTAGGGATCTCAAGTGGGCTCTGCGCATCGTCTCCACCGGTTATGTAAAGTGGTGCCACCTGTGTGCCCCGGGGGTGGGGGGCAAGGTGGAGGGCCAGCGGTAGGGCCCGTGTAGTCAGCACTCCTGTACTCACACACACATCACTAAGATTAGTCATTAAAGTACTTTAAAAATGAGTGTTGGATACTATTTATGGCACTTTCTACATCTGTAGTTTAATGGATTAGGATATATGTGGGTGTTCTAAATAATAAGAATTCATGATAGCCTCGCTTTTAGTTTCATGGAGGAAGACTTCATTAATTACAAAGGAAAGTGCATATGAAGAACTGAACAATTACAGTGAACATATATAGAGAAGTATAGGGAAGAACAAAGAAGGTCGAATACATCAAATCAGGTACACACAGCATGCACCCTTCTGGCTGGGGAAGCCGCATGGTAAGCAGCCTGGCTGGAGTCCCAACTGAGGGTCCTGGGCACAGCATCCTCCCCTCAGGTGAGACTTCCAATTAGCTATTCCTGTCAGGGCAATAGATGCACTATCCATGTATGACTTGTGGCTAGTTATTAAGTTTGCTTATGTGCAGTCCTGAGCGAGCTATTTTTTCTCTGTTTCTTTTATAGTATCTCACGATTAAGAGCCTGGGCATTTGTATATTCCTCTTCCCTCCCAGACCCATCCCAGAGAGCTCAAGGAGGAATGTGAGGCCCATTAACCCTTCATGGTCTCAGGAACAGAGGGGCCAATTCTGATCCCGGGGCCAGATAGAGAGTACAAGCCCACTAAGTCCGCATGATTGCATCTCATGGCTCTCGGCAGAAATGACAAGTCACATGAACAACCTCTATACAAAACAGTGGGTTTTAAAATCCATTTTTTAAATTGAGATATTACACATGTACTGTGAATTTCAGCCATTTAAAATGTACAGTCCACTGTGTTTTAGTATATTCAGAAAGTTGTGTCTTCATCACCACTGTCGAATTCAAGAATATCTTTGTAACTCTAAAAAGAAACTCCATGCCCATCAGCAGTCACTCTAGTCATAGCTGACCATTAATCTATGTGCTTTCTCCACGGATTTGCCTTTTCTGGATGTTTAATGTAAAGCTCCAATACGTGGCCTTTTATGTGTGTCTTTTTTCATGTAGCACAGTATTTTCAAGGGTCATTCCTGTTGTAGTATATCATCAGCACTCTATTCCTTTTTATTGCTGAATAATTTTCCATTGTATGGATATACCACACTTTGTTTATCCACTTATTAATTGTTAATGTTTGGATTGTGTTCACTTTTTTTTTTTTTTTACTATTATGGGTAGTGCTGCTGTGAACATTCATGTACAAGTTTTTGTACGGAAACGTGTTTTTGTTTCAGCTATTGTTGGAGTTGCTGATTTGTATGGTAGCTCTATGGTTGACCTTTGAAGAACTGCTAGACTGTTTTCCATGTGGTTGTACCATTTTAGGTTCTAGTATCTCCACATTCTTGCCATTATTATTATCTTTTATTTTAGCCATCCTTGTGGCTGGGAAGTATCTCCTTGTAGTTTTGGTTTGCCCTTCCCTAGTGAATAATCATGCTTAACTTATTTTTATGTGCTTATTGGCATTTGTATATCTTCTTTGCAGAAATGTCTATTCAGATTTTACACCATTCTTTTTTTTTTTTGAGAGAGAGTGTCATATGCACACCTGAACGGGGGGAGGGAGAGGGAAAGGGGAGAGAGAGAATCTTAAGCAGGCTCCATGCTCAACAGGAGATCATGACCTGAGCTGAGATCAAGAGTCGGATGCTTAACTAAGCCACCCAGGCACCCATCATGCCCATTTTTAAACTGGTTTATTTTTCTTTTGGTTGAATTGTGAGAGTTCTTTGTATATTCTGGATGTAATTCTCTTATCAGATATGTGATTTGCAAACATTTTTTCCTGTTTTATGCATTGTCTTTTCACGTTCTCCATAATGTCCTATGAAGCACAAAGTTGTTTTAATTTGGTTGAAGTCCTGTTTATTTTTTCTTTGATTGCAAGTACTTTTGGTGTCATGTCTACAAAACCGTTACATAATACAGATCACCAAGATTTATGCTTATGTTTTCTTTTAAAGGGTATAGTTTTAGCTCTTACTTTTCTTTTTAGGTCTTTGATCTATATTAAGTTAATTTTTTATAATTCTTTTTTTAATGTTTTGTTTGTTTTTTGAGAGAGAAAGAGTGCGAGCTGGAGAGGGACAGAGAGAGAGAAGGGGACAGAGAATCTGAAGTGGTCTCTGTGCTGACAGACTGACAGCAGTGAGCCCAACATGGGGCTTGAACTCACGAAGTGTGAGAACATGACCTGAGCGAAAGTCCGACACTCAACTGACTGAGCCACCCAGGCACCCCTGAGCTAATTTTTTAATATAATATGAGGTCGGGGTATAACTTTATTGTTTTGCATGTAAACACCACTTTTCCTGACACCATTTGTTGAAATGTTATTCTTTCCTCCATTGAATTATCCTAATGCCCTTGTCCAAAAGCAATTGCCTATAACTATAAGGTTTATTTTTGGACTTTTCATTCCATTCCATTGATCTGTATTTCTATCCTATGCCAATACCATGATGTTTCAGTTACTGTAGCTTTGTGGTAAGTTTTGAAATCAGGAAGTGTGAGTTCTTTGGCTTAGGTTTCCTTTTCAAGATTATTTTGGCTCTTTTGGGACACCTTGCATTTCCTTATAAATCTTAGGATCAACTCTTCAATTAAAAAAAATAGCTGGAATTTTGATAGAGATCTCATTAAATCTGTGGATCAATTTGAGAAACATTGCTAACTTAACAGTCTTAAATCTTCCAATTCATGAACATCAGATGTGTTTTGTTTGTTGTATTTAATTTCTCTCAACAGTGGTTTTTGTGTGACTTTTTAATATATAAGTCTTGTATTTCTTTAGTTAAATTTATTCCTAAATATTTTATTCTTTTGATGCTGTTATAAATGTGATTGTTTTAATTTCATTTTCAGGAGGCACCTGGGTGGTTCAGTCAGTTGAGCGTCTGACTCTTGATTTTTGCTCTGGTCATTATCCCAGGGTTGGGGGAATCAAGCCCTGAGTAGGGCTCTGCACTGAGTATAGAGCCTGCTTGAGATTCTCTCTCTCTCTCTCTCTCTCTCTCTCTCCCCCCCTCTCTCCCCCTCTCTCCCCCCCCACCCTGTCCCTCTCTTCCATTCGCATTCTCGTTCTCTTTAAAATAAAATAAAACTAAAAACAAAGCATGTTTCATTTCATTTTAGGTTGTTCATTGCTAATACAATTTAATTTAATTTTTTAATTTTTTAATGGTTTTTTTTTTTTTTTTTTTGAGAGAAAGAAAGAGAGACAAAGTGTGAGTGGAGGCAGGGCAGAGAGGGAGGGAGACACAGAATCCTAAGCAGGCTCCAGGCTCTGAGCTATCAGCACAGAGACTGATGTGGGGCTCAAACTCATGAACTGCAAGATCATGACCTGAGCAGAAGTCAGGCGCTTAACTGATTGAGCCACCCAGGCACCCCTACAATTTATTTTTGTATAAAAATACTGCATATTTGTATATTCTGTAACCTTGCTAAACTCCTTGATTACTTCTAATGGTTTTTTGTGGGTTTCTTAGAATTTTTCATATACAGGATCAAGTCATCTGTGAGCAGAAGCTATTTACTTCTTCCTTTCTAATCAGGATGTCTTTTATTTATTTTTCTTATGTAATAGCCTTGGCTAGAGCTTCTAATACTATGTTGCATAGAAATTGCTGTGTTGCATTTTTACGAAATGGTGATAGGGTATACACTCTTTTATATCCATTAATATTAAAGTGTGGTGACTTCATGAAATAAGTGTCATCATGTCTGTAGAACAGTAATTAGGACTGTTACGATCTAAAAAACATGTAAGCTTTTTTTTTTCCCCTTAATTGGGGAACACTCTAACAATGTCTGTGTTTTGTTTTTTCTTTTAGGTTTTCTCAAATAACGATGAAGGCCTTATTAACAAAAAGTTACCCAAAGAACTTCTCTTAAGGTAAATGTAGATAAACTTTAAAGAATTCAGATTGGATTCAGTCAGCAAGGTCTAAGACATTCTTCTTTCTCACTATGAGTCCATAGCATAGAAAAACAGAATTAGCCTAACTGACTTTTTGTTTTTGTTTTATAGAATGCTGTTCAGCTTGTTGTTAAATTTTACTTGGTCTAATCCAGAATGTACTAAGTTATGTGCATAGCATTGGTCTGGATTCTTTTTGTAATGTGGTAAGTATTGTAATCATCTCCAGTAGGGGCCATTGTTTTGGTAACAGTAGATATTCCCAAAGTAGTCAATTACCCGAGGAGAGATGATTACTAAGGTGGTGAGCTCATGACGTCACACACATTTGGGTGTTTTCTAATCAATTTTAAAATAAGTATGGTTAAAATGTTGTCAGTCCAAATATTGATATATTTTTATCCATTTTATGAAAACTATGTGCCAAGTGACAGCACCACAAAACGTGGTTGGTTCTGTAGTTCTGGCGTCACCGAATATATAGTAAATGGGGTTTTGCTTGTCATTTTTTCCAGAGAAAGCTGTCCACCAGCATTTGTCGACCTGAGGCACTGCAGGTTCTTTTGGTTCTCTGCAGTCATCAAAGAAATCTGATTTTAGTTTTGGATGTTATATTTTAATTGTTTACAAGTAATTAATACATGTATACTGGTAATCTTTGGCATTTCCCAGATGCCACTGATGTTCCACAAAACAAAACAATTTTGTAATCCAGTAAGTATGGGAAACACTGGGTTGACAAAACCAATTTCTTTACGCACGACTTCTCAGAGCCTTACTACTTAAAACACATGGTGATGCCCTCAGACGGATAGGGCTGCCATTTCACACTTACCATGGAACTCTCTTAATAGTCCGTATTAATTCCATCTTCCATTGGAAAAATTTGGGGAAATGCTGACATACAGTAAGTGATGGACGAGATGACTCCATTTCCTGGTTGTGCTAAATTTCATTTTAACATTGAGGGGATGGCCATGAGTTTTGTTTACATGTCAGAGTTTACCACAGAGTTACTCTGTACATATCACAGACGACTCACCTCAGTATGTTAAACTTTTTCTTGAGTCAGAAACAGGGTGAAGCCATAGCTTCCTTGGGTGGTGATCACATTTCAGGGTCTGAAGCGAAGGTGTTCCCTTAGTCATCAGGTGTTGTTTGACACTGTTGTCATAAACTAATTTTACTCAATAAAAAAGAAAATTAAGCCGTGACAGGATCATATGAAAACCACAGCAATAATATTTCAATAAAATACTTGCTAGGATAAGAGAGAGACTATCCTTTGGCATTTCAGATCCTTTTATACTTTTTAAAAAATATTTTATTTATTTCTGAGAGAAAGAGAGAGAGAGACAGCGTGAGCAGGGGAGGGTCAGAGAGAGAGGGAGACACAGAATCCCAAACAGGCTCCAGGCTCTCAGCTAGCTGTCAGCACAGAGCCCGACACGGGGCTCAAACCCACGAACCGTGAGATCATAACCTCAGCCAAAGTCAGACACTTAACCGACTGAGCCACCCAGGCGCCTTGCGTCTGATGCTTGATTTCGGATCAGGTCATGATCTCACAGTTCATGGGTTTGAGTCCCGTGTCATGCACTGGTGGTGCAGAACCTGCTTGGGATTCTCTTCCCCACCTCGCTGTCCCTTCCCCGGTTTGTGGGCTCTCTCTCTCTCTCAAAAAAACTTAAAACGAAACAAAAAAAAAGAACTAACATGGTTGGGTTAGGATGGGCAGGCCGTTACTCTACGAATGAATGGACAGGATGCTGTCCACAACGGACTACAAAGTGCATGGTGTTCCCTAGAAGTGTGCAGCTTCATTCTGGGCCTGAACATTTTCTAGCACAGATATCAAGCTGTAATATGAACGTGTCATTCTTATTCCCGGGAATCAGCCAGCTTCAGGCAGACCCATTATTAGTCATTCAGCACTGGGGTGTGATTAAACTCCACTGCTGCCATGAATACTGCTTCTGTCTGTGACTCAGAGCTGCTAAGTTAATATTTTCCCTTTTGATGGAGTTAGCTTTGACACTGTTCTCATCCAGGGAGCATTTTCTGTCTACTGACAACAAAGGAGGGGGCAGCAGGTAGCATTTCTGTGTTAATGTGCTTTCGGAACTTTTTGAGAAATTTTAGTTCTTTTAAAAGTCCGTGGTGGCCTCAGCTGTCATAAATCCTACAGTTACAGGCTTTGAATCATGCCGCCAGGCTCATAATATAGATCATTTTTCGAAAAGAATTGCCACTTGAGACCAAATGTTCGTAGCATGTCTATTCATAGATTAGTATTCCCACTTCTTATTTTGGAGTCTGTCAGGGGAATTTAAATTGTAAAGTACTGACGCTACAGGTTTCCTCTGACTTGTGAGTCTCAAACTTAATTCTAGCCAGCTGCGGTATTTTCATCTTTGTTGGCCTTCAAATCATTTCTGCCATTTTACTCTCAGACTTTAGATTCTCAGTAATAGCAGCTCTCCCCTTTCCTAGCTACCCTTTTCTGTGCAAAATGTTGGAGAAAGGTTTGAGCCAAGTTACCAAAGTAGCCATCTTCATCATCAGCCTCATGGAGCTGAAGTCTTGATTATTTTGCTCAGTTAGATGATGTCTTCATATTTTCAGCGTGTCATCGGCTTACATTCTTACTTCCTATTGCAGGTATCTTTGTGACAGTGCAGACGTCCTATTGGTGCTGAATTCCTGCCTACCTTCCATCTTACTTCATCAGTAGATGTGAATTCTTTGACTTTAAAATAATCTTATTTACTTCTAGCCTGGTCGTTTTCTCTCTGCCATTTTTTACTGCATCCGTCACCACCCTCTTAAATTCTCTACTAACTTCCATTACTGATCATATCGATTAAAGCCTCAGCTCCTTTTCGGAACCATTAACAAGCACAGCCTGGAAGTATGTGGGTTTTTTTTTTCCATCTCTCTAGATCACTTTGAATCTGCTCAGAAAAATCTGTGAGGTTGTTTTCATCTGATCATCTTATTGCTAGTGTGAAGACTGCTCAATATTCTTGACTCCCAGATTCCTTCTACCACCCCATTTTTAGTTTGTTACTTAACACGTTTTTACAATTTTGCTTTTTCTAACCAGTTTTCATTTGTAAATTAAAGGTATTCCACTTCTCCCTCACTACCCTTTATGCTCACACAATTCAACAGCTTGTAATTTTACTCCTCCTGGGGAGTCAGTTATATAATGATTATAACAGTGGGAATCGTGAATTTTTTTAAATCTGCATATCTATTAGTGAGTTGGGTTGTCCTTATATTTTATTCTTATTGTCTGTATTACTTTTGGAGCCAGCTTGGTTGAGATTTCTGATCTCCCCATTTACTATTTGTGTGACCTTAAATTTAGTGACTTAACCCTCTGGGCCATAATTTCCTAGATCTATAAAATGGGGATAATAATAGTTCTTAATGGGGTTGTTGCTAGTCCTTAAGGTGCCTGGCAGTTCATGAATGTTAAATAAATGTTAGCCTTTATTGTTATTAATTAATATCAATTTTGGATGCCTGCATTACTTAATAGACGTTGTTTGACAGTGTCGTCAATATTAATGCAAACCGATGAAAGCAAGCTGGCCTGCCGTGGACCTCCGCATATGCTACTGCTAACAGTATCTCAGTAAATAACCTGACCGATAAGTAAGTTAACGTAACCCAGCGCCCACTTCACCGGCCTGGACTAATTCAGTCTCGGTGGACGGTGCACACCACCAATGATATTAAACTGACAACTGCTGAGTGGGGCTCATGCAGGTTAGTGGTGGTAGCGTTAACTTTTTGACCTTAAGTTTTTGCTTCTGTTCTGGTTGCCCTCAGATGTTGACGATGACATGAAAACACAGGAGCTAAGGAGTGCTATAGGCAGTAAATATCTTAAAACACTCAGAGAAGGCAAAGCTCTTGTCAGTAATAAATAATAATGAAAGAAACCTCTTAGTAGACACATTTTTAAAAACTTAAATCACCATTATTTAGATCATTTTCTCTCCTTTTAAAATGTATGTGGACACATGAAAAATTAAGTACTGATAGTGGCTGTTGGCTTGATGAAAGGAAGGTTTGATTGCCCCGAGCAGGAGAGCTGAGCCTAGTAATTCTGGGCAAATGAAATCAGCTACACAATTACATATATTTGGCAGTTTTACTAGTGGGCCAAGGGGAAATTAGAAAACGACTAGGGCAAACATTTTCAAGTTTTCCTTTTCTAAAATTCATAAACCACTTCCATGAGTGAAAATAATCGTGGTTTTTGTTGCAATCGTGGAGTGCTTGTGTATAGTTGCGGGCCCCCAGGAGCAGAGCAGTGAAGGGCTCGTCCTGTCGGGGCCACGGCCGAGGGGGCGCACCTGCCTGCTGGTCGGCGCCAGCGCCCCGTGGAGGTTTCTGAGACCCGGGCGCCCGCCTCCTGCTCTCTGCAATGCTGTGTGTAAGTTCCAAGGCAGCCCAACAGGCAGGATGATGCCCTTAGGGGGGGTACATACTGCAAGTTCAAGTTTAAGCATCTATGCAGGATTTTCCTTTTGCTTCATGAATTTTTTCATTTCTTTGTTCGTTTTTATTTCTTACCTGCACATGGCCGTACATGACTGAATTAATGTGTGTTGAAATCAGGTGTGGAAGCTTCAAGGCCTTTCCTTTTCATTACCTCTGCGTACTATTCTATACCATTTTGGGGTTGGCGTCTAAGTCCCAACCACGGCAGAAGCAAACCTTGCTTTTTCTAGGTTGGGGTTATACTTACACATTAAAAGTTTGATGTTGTCTTTGGAGGTTTTACATTCATTCATTCATTCATTCATTCATTCATTTATTTTACCTGCATTGAGGTGGCATCAAACATGAGTAAAGCTCCATGGTTAGGAGTGATAGAACTAGTGCGTTCTTGGGCCCCCTCCTACACCGCTGGTGGGAATGTAAACGGGTGCAGCCCCTCTGGAAAACAGTGCGGAGGT